CAAGCGACGCGGGTTGGGGTCCGCGCCCGGCGCCCCAGCGGAGGTCATTACCTGGCCAGTGTAGTTTTCCCCGAGCCCGGGAGGCCTCGCAGCAGGTAGAGGTGCTTCCTAAAGCTGTGGCGGCGCCGGGGTGTCCCGCGCGGGGGCGGCGGGGCCGGCGGCCGAGGCTGCTGCTGCCGCTTGGGCTGGAGGCTGAGCCTCCCAAAGGATTCAAGGAAACTCTCCTCCATGGGGTGGAGGTTGGCGGCCAGTGCCCCGGGTTCCAGTCCCCTAAGTCAGGGTCTTGGCCAAAGCTGTTGTTTTTGTGGCTCTCCGGCCATGTGATAGATGGAGGGGCGGGCGCTCGGAGCCCAGCCCCTCCTCCCCTCCCGCCCGAACTGCGCTGCGTGGGAGTGGGCGTCCCTACCTGGGAAGCCGGGGACGCTGGGAGGCTGACAGCAGGGAAAGCAGGGTGCTGAGCCCCCTGCCCCGCGCTCTGACCTCCCTCCTTTGCCTCCGGGCGCCTTCGGTCCCGAAGGGAGACGATCCGCCTAGAGGGACACCTGGCCACTTCACCACCACCACTCCCACCCCACCAGCGTCACTGCCCTCTGCCACCGAGGGTGAACCACAGCCTAGACCTTGAAAGTGAAATGATTGTAGTTGTCATTAAAGAATGTGAACAGCACTTTGAATAGTAACAGTCAAGGCCATGTCTCCCCCACTTTGTGAGCACCAGCATATTTGGCTGGTGTTCCAACAGCTAACCCCACTTTTCCAGGATCCGTGTCTTATTTTCTTACCCATCTTTACCAGTCTGTAAATACATTTAGAAAGCTTTGTAAGTGCTACATAACTTTAAATCCCTTCTTTCTCAGAAAATCCACAATGATCTGCCAACAGTAGTATAATTAACTAGGTTTCTTCAGAAAGACGAGCTACCGCCCCTGTACATGCTCTGCGGCCACACCTCTCCCAGAGAGGCCAGGCCTCTCAAGAGCGATTTCAGTTCCCCCCAAAAAAGAAAAGTCAGCTAAAATGATTTTAGAGAAGTGCCCAGAATTAAATTCCAAGTGCGACTAGCTGGTGAGCACCAGTTGGCGCATCATACTCTCTCATACATTTCACACACGGGTGACATGGAGCAAATGCTAGTTTCTGGACCAGATGCTTCGACTGAAAGTGGCAATATTAAAAATTAACACTATCCTGGCTTTTCTCATAGCAGAAGTATAATGGACCAGGGGAGAAAAAAATAAGAATAATGAAGACCCATATACCAGAGACATTTTATGGGATCAAAAATGGTGGGGGGAGGGAAGTGCACTGGACTATGATGATGGCACATGGGTGACTTGGTGATGTGAAACACACAGGGATTACAATTGAGATGAAAAAAAATGTACAAAATGATGTAATAGTAAACTATTATAAAAAAAATTAACACCATCTTGCAAAGTCCAGGAGCTATGATGCTGGGGCTGTAATCATAGTAAAGTAAATGCATGCTGTTTCTGGCAGCTAAGGTTAAGTTTTTTTCTTTTGGAAAAGGAAGTGTGAAGAAATTTCTAAAAACTTTGGAAGGGACTATCCAAGCAGGGAAGGGTTCTGTGCTGAGAATTTCACCTTTCCCTTGGGGTCCCCCTTGGGAGAAAGGGACTGCCCTTTCTCTCTGAAAATCCCTTCCCCCAACTTTAGAGGAAGGGATTCTTTGCGGTAGTTCTTAGAATCCTGCAGAAAAATATTAGAATTTCAAGTGTCTCTAAATATTAGGAGGAAATCATAAAGAATAGGGACAGTATGCAGTGATTTATAAAAATAGTGGCTCTTACAATGTTTGCATCCTATATTCTTACAGTTTTTAACCCAGCCTCAAAAACTAGCTTTTTCATTCTAACCTACACTGTCCAATACAGTAGCCTCTTGCTTCATGTAACTATTAAAATTTTGAAATATGAGTAGTGAAAATTGAGATAATATATACACTGAATTTCAAAGTTTTAGTATAAAAATATATAAAATATTCTATTGATAGTTTTAAAGTGATTATGTGTTGAAATGATAATAGGTTGGGTATGATGGGTTAATATATTACTAAAAGTAATTTCACCTGTTTCTTACTGCTTTTCTAATGTGATTAAAAAAGCTTAAGTTATTTAAGTGGCTGGCATTAATTTCTATTTGGACAGTGTTGAATGAGACTTCTGTCCACTACTATAGCCTTCCTAGATGGGGGTCCCAGGGAGATAGGAGACTGATGGGCAACAGGAAGGCTCCCAGGTTTGGGGCTAGAGGTTTGGGCACATTGAGTGTGCAGCGGCTGTGCAGGTAGAACAAACTAGTAGATGCTGGAAAGTATGTGTTGTTCGTAAGTAAAGGCTGAGCTGAAGACAATATTGGAAACTGCTGTCCTATGAGGATATAGAATAGGGCAGACAGCTGAAGAGGAGGTCCTAGGAACACCAGGAACTGGGGCTTTAAACTGGATCTGTTGAAGGAAAATAGGAGAGAATGATCAAACACTGGGTATGGAGCTGTATGGAAGTCCAGGGAGAGAGGATTTCAAGGAAGAGAAAGTGACTGGCACTACTTGGGAGTGACCCTAGATATTTCTCCTTCTTCTCCATCCCTGTATTTAACTAGCCAACAAGCTCAACTGTTTTCCCCAATTAGTCCTCCAAACTACAGCTGTGTTTGTACATCTATTTTCCCCACTGGATTGTAAAGGGCAGATGACTATCATCCTTGTGACCACAGGAACTATCATAATCCCTGACACTCAGAAGGTGCTCAGTAACTATATGTGAACCTAAACTATGGAGTCTGGTCTTTCAAGTTAACTAAATTAAGATCGAAGAGTGATGTTATCAGCTGAGCAATAATGTAAACAGTGACCATGCTGACTGTTCCAAAAGCCAGCTTGCTCTAATGCACCCAGATGTTTACTAGGATACACTGGTCCTACTATGCAACCACCTGCAGAAAGGTGGTACCGCTGACCCAAAACATCCCTGTGCTCCCACTCTTTACTGTCCTCAGATTAGCCATCAGCTTTTCAGATCTAGGGGCCTGTTCCATTTCTTTATTACCTAGTGATGAGTAGGATCCACTTTGCTGCAATGGAAACCCTTACCATGATGGACAGAAAGAAAATAATCTTACAAATCATTTTTGGCAATCAAAAAAAATCCACATGATTCTTTAATTATTAACAATAAGTGGGAAAATAAGGAGATACACAAGAGGAGCTACTAGAGACCAGGAATTTAACCCTCAAAACTATAGTTCAGGCCCTCCCTGGTGGCGCAGCGGGTTAAAGCACAGCACTGAGAATCTAAAGCCACTTCCGCATGAGTTCTATTCCCGCCTGCCCCGGAGGTGACCACATGGTGTGGCAGACCTCTCCTGGCCCGCCCGCTGCTCCCCTCAGCAGTGAACTTCATTGATCTGCCTGTTCTGTTCCCCACTCTGTCTCTGGTGAAGCCTCTTACCGCCCCTGAGCCTCTGGCCTGCACCCCAGTTCTGTATGCACAAATAAGTAAATCTTTAAAAAAAAAAAAAACTATAGTTCAAATATCCAGGATTTAGAATGTTAAATGAGGGCCCTCCTTGGTGGCGCAACAGTTGAAATGCAGCACTATGAAGCTGTCCCCAGGCACTGCAGCATTAAGTTTGATCCCAGGCCAGGAAGCTGACCCACATGGCTTGGCAAACCTCTCCTGACCGATCTGCTGCTCCCCTCGACAATGTATTTCAATCAGTCTACCTGTTCTGCTCCCCATTCTGTCTCTAGTGAATCACCCCCTGCACCTCTGGACTGTACACTAGTTTTTGTATGCATAAGTAAATAAGTCTTTAAAAATAAATAAGTTATATGAATTTAGAGAATGGAAAAGTATCTACTTTTGCTGCTTGCTATTTCCACTGGACTCCTGGCTGCTCCAGCACCTGCAGGGTGTGCCTTCTACCACAGTCTGTGCAACATGGCCAGTCAGGGGAACCTTGTTCTCCAATCTACCTAACTTTCTTCTGCCTGGCTTCCCTCATTCTTCCCCCTGGAAACCAGACAGGCTGCCAGGAGCTGGAAGAGGTTAGCACAAAGGGGCCAAGGAAGAGAAGCAATGTGGAGTACATCTGTAGGCTGGGTTGGCGTAGAAATTCTCAGGATTCTGGTGGCACTGGGACTTCAGTAGCCTTGGATAAGGCTGTCAATGAAGAAATGTCCTCTAAACAAGTCTGAATTTGATCATTCTACCTCATCCTGCCTCTGATTCCTGCATTCCATCCCTCATTCCTGTCGGTGTCACACTCCACCCCCAGGGCAGCGGCTGCCACATCATCTGTTTCCACAGGACCTGCTATTTGCCAGTGGACATAGTGGTACTTGTCATGAGCTGTGAGAAGGAAGATTTCAGCTGAGAAACCCCCAATCCCTTTTTCTGTAATTTTTCTAATTTTAGAAATTAGATGAGGTAACAAAGCTAAGAGGTGGAAAATGCAGACACGGGGGGTAAAGGTATTCTAGAACCCAAGTTTAAGTCTGGATGTATATTCTTGTTTTGTATCAAGTATAACAGTGTTCAAAACTGTTAACTTCCAATACCATAACCTTACTTGTAGCCTTGGTCAAAGCCATGGTAGTGTGGATTCTAATATGTTCACTAGAAAGAACATCATAAATGTTACTATCAAATACCCTTACGTGCAAGGATTTGCTAGGTGCCAAAGTCCCTTCACAGCTCTCTATGCTTTGACTCTACTGCCCTTTCCTGAAGTCATCCTCTATTGAACCAAAGTCAAGTTCAATTTAATAAGGACTCTAGGCACCTACAGAAAGCAAGACTTCTGGGCATTCAGCAAAATTCTGAAGACCCTAGTCTCTGTCTGACAAAGCCCTACTGTCTCATAGAAAGATAAACTGGAACTATATGAAATGGACCTAAGGAAAACACTGAGATATTTTAAATACAGCACTCAACTCCCAGAAAAGATGGCAGATGGAAGACGAGTATTTAGATTCCACTCCCTCCTTAAAACCCCACTAAAATATAAAGGGATTTTTTTAGGGAAAGGATATTTTGTTATCACTTTTAGATACAAAATATAAGAAAGGAGAGAGAGTATCACAATAATAAATTTGGAACTGGAAAGCAAAGGCCAAATGTTAACTGACTTGCCAAACACACATACACAAACTTTAATTATAGAAGGTCAAGAGGCAACACAGTTAACCCTGTATAACTCCTAAAATTTCAGGCAGTAGAAGATTTAAGACTAGAGGTAGAGCTGTAAACAGGACTTTCTCTCTCTCTCAAAAATCTTAAGAATCTGTTCCCTTTGTCTTTGTGGGCACTAATAGCTGGACTCCTTTTATGGCATGCACTCCTTCACAGTTTGGGGTCCCTGAGTACCCCTTGGTCACACACTAACAGTTACACTAAATGGGATAAATGAGTAAAATTAACTCCCTATATGTTTGGGCCAGGTTTTGTTGTCAACTTAGTTTTAAGGCCAAACACTGAACAAAACAAAACAACTGGTTTTCAGGGCTTCTGAGTTTCAGAATAGTCAACAGAAATAGAATCATAAACCCATGATTGCATATAGGACTTATCCTTTATCCTGACACAAGTTTTAAAATAAGTGACTCAAGTTTTCTGTGTTTTAATTTCTTCCAGAATAGATAATAAGGCAAGCATCTTCAAAATTAGATAATCAAATGTTCAAATTGTTAGCTTTTGCTGAGATTTTTATTATTCAGATAACTAACCTAGACTGGTTGGGCAGATTCTCCAATCAGATTTGGTGCCCAATAAATATGTTACTGGAAATAATCGTTTGAGCTGACACTGAGCATTCTGATTTTCACAACCTTCAATAGCACCAGGAAGACCAGAGAACTCAACTATAAACACAAAACCAGACAAATCCAGACAATGGAGTTTGTTGTTAGACTTCCAGGCTGCTTAGGACCTCCACAACCCCGCCATATACTGTCTGCTCCTGCATCATTCCAGAGTCCTTGCCCTGACATTGCCCAATCTCTTATCACTAAGACTAAGTCAAAACTTATTCTACATCCCATTCCCTGAGAATCCAGCTCTTCATATTATAGTTAACAATAAATACACAAATTCATGCAACTATGTCAAGTTTACTGAGTTATTTTCCTAGATAACACCATTTCTACATTGGGGGAAGGGCTACATTTCAAAAACATGTTTTAACAAAGGATTCAGGAGAATCCTTACTAAGAGCCTATAATTTGTAAAGCACTATGCTAGGTACTTTGCACAAATTATTTCATTTAATCCTCCCTTAAGTTTCCCAGGATAGGTTGGTTTTATAAACCTATTTACCAGCAAAGGGAGGCTCTGAGGGGTAATTTAAGGTCACAAAGTCAGCCAGTAGCATCTTTTAGATGCAAGTCCTTCCTTTTTTACAGCTCCCTACCACACTGTTTTAAAGGAGACATAATATAAAATGCCCAGTGGCTAGCAAGAAAAGGACTTTGAAAAAGGCAAGGCCTTGTGTTCCCAGGACATCATGGTTCTCTTGCTATTTCCCTTTCTTAAATTTGTCTTTTAACCCTTGAGGCCCACTGATCTATGGATCACACAGATCACAAACACATAACAAATGGGGAGGCCTTTCTCAGAAGTGTAAAAATTTGTACATAGCTATAATACTCAAAAAATCCCCAACAAGGGATTTAATAATTCAAGGTTACTGCTTTGAGAAGACTAGATTCACAGAGTGCTGTTTAGCATGAAGTGAAAGTTGAACATACAGATCAAACTTATGACCCAGAAAGTGTCTTTGATATAAAACATCCAAATTTGTTTATTTATTTTAAAGATTTTTTTGCTTATAGAACTGGAGTATAGGCCAGAAAGGCAGGGACAATGAGAGGCTTCACCAGAGACAGAGTGGGGAGCAGAACAGGCAAAACGATGAAGTACACTGCTGGGGGAAGCAGCGGGCAAGACAGAAGTTTGTGGACCATGTGGGTCAGCTCCGGGGCTGGGAATCGAACTGGCACTGAAGCAGCTACGACTAGCTTGCTGCACTTCAACCCACTGCACCACCAGGGAGGGCCCTAAAACACCCAAATTTACAAGATAGAAAAAAACTCCCCAATTGGCCATAAATATATCCATGTTTGTTCCATGCTGCATGTACTAGTGTCACACGAGGATCCCCTTCCAGGCAAAGGTGGACATGTTTCTTTGCTAATTTCAATCCTAACACAAGTTCCATGAGGGTAGGGATGTTTTCAGTTTTGCCCTCAGTGTGCACAACAATGTCTGAATTAAGGCAACTCAGTAAATATTTACTGAGCAAGAAGATGGGTCTCTTTACTTTTCTCTGTAATTCCTCATAGTTTATATCTTTTTGTTCTAAGTGTATTCCACATTTTTTAATAATCACTCTGAATCTTTAATTTCCCCTCCCAAATCTTCAGTCCTTTTGCCCTCTTCTTTCAGTTGAAGCAGGTTTAAAACAAACTAAAACATTTCAAAATTTATTGAGTATCTGTGTAGTTCCAGTTGAGAAATGGAAACACAGACTACTCTCAGAAATCAGTTAAGTGAAGAGAAAAAACATATGGTAAATGCACAAGTGAATTCAATTCTTATCAAGTACAGACACATACACTGAAATTGTAGCAGCTGTGTTTATTTCATAATTTAGGAATTTGAAAAAAGCGCAATGTGTTTATTTCAATGCCAACTTGATGTCAAATTTAAAATATAACTTGAGTTTGTCTACATGTTTTACTTCTTTCCCTAGAGAATCTTCCAGTATTTAAATATAACATATATTCCTAATTTCCAGCCTTCATCACATATGAATCCTGGGGCTGGGCGGGGAGAAGTCCCTTATCAACATGTTGACAGAATGTTCTAAAATATGTTCTAACCAATACGGTTGGAAAATAAACACGGGAGCAACAATCTAAGCTTTGTTGTCTTTCACAAAAAGATCTACATTTAAAAGAAATAAAAACATCACATGCGCAAAAAGCACAAAGGGTTGCTATGGTAACAGACTACCTTTTATATTTATTCTTCAATAGTGGTGCATATGAGCTATTACAACCAAATAACATCAACATCTGCTTCCTTCTAATCATATAAAGGTCTCTGGAATAGGTTATATTTAATAATTGAAGGAACTCTCATTTTTAAAACAGTCTACTTTTCTAGGAATTATAATTAAAACATATGTAATAGGTATTGATACTTGGCATGGGGTAAATTTGCTCCATCATTTAACTGATGTAGAAATATTTCCAAAATAATAAAAGAAACATAATAGTCATGAATATCAATTTAAACATTTACAGTATTGTGTGTGTAAGGAAAAAAAGAGAGGGCAAAAGGACGACAGCACATGTGTATGTGTTCAGGTACAAATAAGGTGTCCATGAGGAGTGGGGAAGAACAAGACATTTAGAAAAATGTATTTGGTTTCACTAATTAGACACAAAAAAACTAATCTGCTCTTCTCAGTTATGCTTACATGAATAGTTAAAACATGTCTATTACTCTGAACTGAATAATTCTATATTTTACTATTTATTTCAAAATGCCTATCATTGCCTCTGGGCATATTTAAAGCTCTATCAACTACTGTAAACAGATCTGCAGAACCGTAGCCACCCTCTCCTCATTGGATTACAAGGAGTACTGACTCCTTGAGTTCCAATTATCTTTCTAACTTTCCCAGCCAGTCTTCCAGGTACTCAGAAATTAACAGCCTGTCAGAACAGCCACGCCCTATCCCTGTAGAGCAACAGATTACACAAATAATGAGGTACTTCTAACTCAAGTAAAGATGGATCTTATTTGTAGCTTTTCTTCTACTATAACACTGTAAAACCAACAACTGGACAGGAGAAAAGATGTGATGAGGAATAAAGAAATCTCCTAAAACGGGCACCATAGTCACTCACACTGTGCTTTGCACAGGTTTACAAGACAGTAAAGTTAGGGAATTAAGTGCAACTTTGTCCTTGGAATTAATTGAAAGAAAAAAAAAAAGCAGTATTATATGTTATCCAGCTAACCTCATGCAGTCTTTTTTGATTTAATATAAGGGATACAACCCTTCACTGTACCTTTCACCTTGATAAAAAGATTTTCTCAAAAAAATTTTTAAAGAAACTAGTTAGAAAAGGTCATCCTTGAAAGTCATAAAAATGTACCTTTACTGATGTCTTCCATGCAAACTGAGCATCTTCAGTGTCTTTCAGTTGAGGAGAACCACATAGACATTTGGCAACAAGACTCTAAAAAATAAAAGGAAATACATTTTATACTTTAATTTTACACAGACTACCACAACAGTAATTTTACTCTAGACCATTATTAACAGTAAAAGCCTGATTTTGAAGCTCTTATAGTAGTGATGGCTAAAACAGGAATTAAGTTTGCCTCAGATCACTATTAGTAAACATTGTCCAGACTTAATGAAAACATTTATGTATATATGTAAAATGATCTGTGCCACATTTCACCTTCTTATGTAAGTATAAATATACATGTATACATACAGATATATGTGTATGTATGTATATATATATAAAGTAGTTCAAAGCGATATCATCACAGGGCACAAAATTTAAGAAGTCGTCCTTTCCTGTGACGTGTAGGAAACATTGCAACTATAGTAAGCTTAGACTTCTTGCAATATACTCCTTCCACATAAAAGTCTCTGGGAGAAAAATTCTTACAAACAATTAAGATGATCAGAAATAAGTCCAAATATTGACATAGCAGCTTTCCTTCCTGCCTGTGACTATACAGGTGGTTCTTTTCACAAGTTCTTTCCCTTTGCAGCTTTCTGCCCACCTGTATCTGTGCAAACAGCCTATTCTTTCCTTTTTTATACAATTAACCTGCCCTTCTGGATATATAAAAAAATATTGATAGATACATATCAATCATACCAGACCACATAAAATATTTTTCCTTACTCATTCCTAACAACACGGATAAGTTTTCTTCAGACCACATAGGGCCTGACTACATAATCTCAGTGTGTTGCAAAGCCCCTGTGCCAGGGCTTGAGTTCCCTGCCTTATTTATAAAGTAAATGACCACAGATATTCCATATCTTTGCTGCCCAACCCAGACAAACAAATTGACTTACAGCAAATGCTTAGTTTTCTCCCTCACTTTTTAAATAGAAATGTTTTTTCTTTTAATTTTTTTTTTAAGTTTTATTTATACATACAGAACTGAGGTATAGGCCAGAGGTGCAGGGGCAGTGAGAGGATTCACCAGACAGTGGGGAGCAGAACAGGCAGACTGCTAAGGGGAGCAGTGGGCCAGTTAGGAGAGGTCTGCCGCGCCATGTGGGTCACCTCTGGGCCAAGGATGAAACTCGCACTGAAGTGGCTTGCAGTGCTGTGTCCTAACCTGTTGCGCCACCAGGGAAGGCCCGAAATGCTTTTTCTTTTGAGGCACATTCTTTCTCTCTTGATTATTAAGAGCTTATATATTGCTTATAATACACTTTCACATTAAAGTGATCCCAGACAAAACCATAACCCCATATTCTCTTAAATAATCCCTTTAGCACTGCTAATTTCACTTATAAAAAATTCATAAGGTTGTCATTTATATTTTCTGTGTGCAGTAATTTTGTTTTGTGTTAAGTCTTATCTCCCCATTTAGAAGGTAAGCTATTTGATGAATGAGGTCTGTTTCCGCTAAAAAGCTTTCCAAAAGCTTAATTAATGGATGCTTGATCATTATTGTTGATTATGATACTGTGCACTCAAGGGGCGAAGAGGTTTAGAATCTCCCACCAGTGCCTCTGCTTTGACGCTCATCTATAGCAATGATTGTTAATCTTTTTGTGTCATGGACGAGCCCTACCCCCTTCTACTCCCTGAAAAGCTGATAAAAAAAAAAATCTATGGACTTACTCCCATTAAGATGGCACAAAATAACACCAAAAATTTTGCATGTAATTTCAGAATAGGGATCGTGGACTAAAATCCCTGACCTACTGAGGGTCAATTTTGGCTTCAATTATCTTTTAAAATTCCCACAAACAAATGCATTTTAGGGTGCTCCGTGGTGGCACAATGGGTTAAAGCACCGCACTGTGAGCTCCGTCCATTTTAATATTTTAATCAGTGTGTTCTTTGGTAAATCTAGGAAGATAGAAATGCTGCATCAAACAGTTAAGATATGATTCATAATGTTTACAAACAGAACCCCTAGAGCAGGATGATAATTGTGATTCCCTGGTTCTGAGAGTCATTTGGAACTGATCTGTAGGGACTGTTTTGACCAAAACATCCTAAATTTAGGAACAAATTTAAAACTCTGGGGACAAGCTATGAGATAGGAGCAATGTCTAGGCACCGGGTAAGTATAGAGAAAATATCAGGAAGGTAAAGGAGAACCACAGTGCTTTGGAGCTTTGACCTCTTGACTCATAGTTTCTACCTCCAGGGAAGTTAAGGCAAGTAATTGAGTCAGGGTAAGGATAAGTGGGTATGTGCTTCATTTCCTCTTCACAACATCTAACATCTTAGATATGCTTTTTGTTTAGAACAAATTTCCTTAATTTTACTTAGAATATTTTGAAAATCATGTCACCTTTCTTATTCATAGATGGATTTATATTTCCAAAAACAACAATCTTAAAAGACTAAAGGAATCCATTTTTCAGAGCAAATAAATCATACCCTTTTATGTACTTTTTAGTAACTGTCTCAGTCCTTAAAAATTAAGATCAATTTATTTCATGTGATGTTATTTTCATCATTTATTCTTTACTCTTCACTGCCTTTTTACTATTGTAATAGTTGTGAGTTATTCTGTGAATGAGAAAGGAAAGGGCTATGTACTTAACAAGGGAAATACAGAAAGTTGAAATGTTAAGGGGAAAAAAAGGGCAGCCCATTTCTGCAATAGTCACTGTTTGCCTGCCTCATCCTCCATTTTTCCCCATGTCTGCAGAGTCCAGCTATTCTATGTGCTAACATTGAAGAAGACTGTGAGTGGCAGCAGTGGGGAGTTGGGACATGACTCTGAAGGTCAAGCACCATTTGCTATGGGCCTTCCACTTTCCCTGTGAAACATCACAAGATCAATTAACTCTATGAACTCACTAACACAAAGTGAAAATACCAATAATTACTGGCATGTGTCAAACTGGACATGTTATTTTTAGCAAATAAACACTGTGGAACTCCAGGAGATACAAATTTTACCTGTTAAAAAGATAAACCTTTTGATAATTCAAGAGAAAATAATGGAGTGCCTGTTAAATTTTTGTTATCCTCGGTTTTTAACAACTGTAGCTATTTAGGGTCTTCCAGTATCTTCAGCTGTTTGCCAAACCATTCATTTGAAAAAATCAAGACTGAAGTGATCCCAAAAAAGTATGAAGTATCTGGATGGTTACCTAAAATTTCTGAAGTAAACTATAGGTTATTTAGTGTATCATCTACTCATTTAAGGTTTCAAAGTAAAAAACAACTTCCTGCTTATAAAAGATACCTTTCAGAAGGTAGCACAAGGAAAGGAATAGGGTTTTTATAAAATTATATGGAACACCTTAGTCTATTAAATGACAGGTAAGGAGAATAAAATGCCTACCAACATTTAGAGAAGGTTCTTTGATGACATCAAGGAAAAACATGATTGGTGACTGAAGTTCTTAAGGTTTTGTTTATTATCCATTATTTGTTTCTGAGTATTTTTTCTTCTGAAATAATTTTTAGTCCATGGTTTTCTGTTAACAGGTTACATTATGTTATAACAGAAATGATTTCATCCCAGTAAGTTAAATTTTGGTGCCAACTGAAAATTGCTTTCTGCCACTTTCTATACTCCAGTGTAAGTAAGCCGCTTTTGAAGATATATTTCTGTTTCTATGAATGAATCCAGAGTCTCAATTGGGGGTCACAAGTCTTCAATTTCTATCAAAAGCTTCTCCACCAATGTTTCCAGACTTTTTCTTGGTTCCTTTATAAGTGGAGATCAATTTAATCAATTGTCCCAGCTGTCAGGACAAGCCAAATGTCTATCTTTCTTTGGTCACTCTTAACATATATAAACTTAAGAGGTCCCTCAGGCCAGCTATCAATATAGTGTTGTCTTATCAGAGCCCACTTGTAATTCTCCATCAAATAAGTTGAGAAAAAAAGTTAAGTGTTTTCAGTTGTATTTACACTATGCTCTTTCTCAAAACTTTATAGGAAGTTGTGGATCCTAACTATATAGAATTGTTTCATTCAGGAAACTTTTATCTACCATATTGGTTTTCTTCATAAATGATCAGGGACATCTAAAATTTGGTCCTGGCTATACAATGCTATGATATAGTGCTATCTAATATAATTTTCTACCTTCATGCCAGAGCAGTCATCACGTGTTACAGAGGTGAAATTTTCATTCACTGTTGGACAAACACAGAGCTTTCCTTTAGCACTACATAAACAGAAATAAGTCATCATCCTCCTTATGAAGGTAATTCTTTGGTATACTGGCCAGCCAACTCAATTATAAACATTTGGGAAAGTCACTTTAGGATTTATCTTTTTGTACGGTTCTTCTTCATGGACATTTATTAAATCCCGTAGTTCATTTCCCTGACAACCAGTGAAAGTGGCAGATTCTCTGTTGGTCTTTTCCTAAGTCATCCTCTTCACTCTGAGATGGATTCTGGATTCCTGGTATAGGATAACTTAAATTTTCAAGTGAATTTTTTTCCATAGTTCTACTTTGAATGTTCAGCTTTTGTTTCTTTTCCTGTTTCTCTTCTGCCAGACTTTGCTTAGTGTGTGCCCAGTTTACTTCAAAACTCTCTACCTGAAATATAAAAGAATTAAGAAAATTTATGTTACCTGTATAAACACAGCAACTAAAACATTATATGCTTAACATTCAGTTTTAAAAATGAGTACAATAGATTCTAAAAGTATGTATGTACTTTGTACAACATTTAAAATCACTTAAAAAGATATACAAAAGATATACTTTAATCATCTTAAATAAATGTGAATATGAAAATACTCTGAGATGCTACAACTCATTGTCACACTCTTCCCATAAACTTGTAACTACGAAAACCTCTGTAGATCTGCCTGTTCTACTCCCCATTCTGTCTCTGGTGAGTCCTCTCAAGCCTCCCCCCTGATCTCCATCCTTTGGCCTGGACCTCAGTTCTTGTATTTATAAATAAATAAATAATTTTTTTAAAAGAAAAGCACAAAATGGCTATTATAGTCTCAGAAAGGTACAACTTTTGGTAGCTAGATTTTCTTTTTTTTGGTGGTCACAGTGCAGATGGTCCTGAAGCCAAGGATGCTAACCATCCTGCACCCCAGGAACATTTCTACAGTGAAATTATCTCACACTGAAAGTCTCAGCTCCCTTCATTTGAAAAAATCTTTGATCTTAAAGAAGAAAAGGATTTAAAATTTTTCTGGTTTTAGAATATGAAAGTCTAGTTATCTTCTCTTCCACAAGGTACAGATGGAGACATAGCAAAATGCAGTCAGGGGAGAACAATAAATAAAGCTGGGTGGGAGGCAGGGGATTAGGATAGAGGAGCAGAAAACAAATGTGGAAGGAGGAGGAGATGAGGAAAAGAGAGGTGTTTTGGTCATTCAATTTTTACTTAACCTATCAATATGGCTTATGGCTTGGTTTATTCTATTCATGCTTTTTGGCAATTTTTATCAGGTGAGAGCCATGAATACTACGCTCTTTATCACCTAATTGCTGTTGGCCTCATTTATACATTTCTGGATGTTGGTTTAGAAAGAACATGAACACAAGCTAAGTTACTGATAAGCAGCTATGACAGAACTTCTAAAATATAGATTAAAGAATTTCAAGTTAGGCAGATCAGTATATCATTCTGAAAATAATCTTCACTGTTGCAGAAAAGGGAAGAAAAAAATTGATAGTTTGTTATATCTTTATTTACTGGAACAACCTACATTAAAAACTTAAGAATCATTCCAGAACTGGTGATTCTGTGCCTGTTCTGTTTAGAGCTGGATATATTTTGAAGGAAAAGCAAGCATAATTTGGAAATAAATTAGATACAGGCTATGAGCAAAAGAATTCTGTATGAGTCCAAGGATTATACTCTAAACAATTACAGGGATAAAGTGACCATTTATAGAGACATAGCCACCTATGCAAGGTGCAGGTTTCGGAAAAGGATTGCTAAATCAGTTGCCTCAAAGTTTAGCTCACAGTTCAAGCCAACAGGCTAATCTGTCCTTGTAGCAGAGGTTAGAAAGTGGGGGGGGGGCGGGAGGGGGGAGAATGAGTACTTCTCTAATATTCCTTAAGAGAAAGGAGAGAAACGAAACCTGCTTGTGATGAAAATTCACAATGCCTGTGAGAATTTAACATTAACCAGGAAAAAATGAGATTGCTTATGGAATAAACTACTGTCTGGGAGATCAGATAGTTTACTACGGCAATTTGCTAAGTTAGTCAAAGGAGTCTCTAAGGATTGGAATTCCAGATGAAAATATAGCACAATGCCAAGAAATATGAAAATAGTAAGATTAACACTATAAGGAAGTGTGCCAGAAATATGCACTAATTTGTGCACCACTAAAACTCTAGATAGTTATCATACTGTCCCCAGCCAGCCAGGGAGCAAATGCACATGGCACAGCAGACCTCTCCTGTATTACCTGCTGCTCCCCTCAGAAGTGTATTTCAGCTCATCTGCCTGTTCTGCTCCCCACTCTGTCTCTCACGGACTTTCTCAACCCCCTGCACCTCTGGCCTACACCTCAGTTCTTATATGCACAAATAAATAAATCTTAAAAAAAAAAAAATGATGGGGCCCAATAGGTGGCACAACAGGTTAAAACACAGCACTATCCCCGGCCAGGGCAGACCTCTTCTGGCCCTCCCACTGCTCCCCTCAGCAGTGTACTTCATGGTCAGTCTGCCTGTTCTGCTCCCCACTCTGTCTCTGGTGAATCCTCTCACCCCACCCCACAGCTCTGACTTATAACCCAGTTCTGTATGCATGAATAAATAAATCTTTTAAAAAAATTGACAGTTGCATAAGTCACTACAAAATTTTTTTTTAAAGATGAATACAACAAAATGGCAGGTTACAAATTCAACATACAAAATCTATAGGCCTTTTACATACAATGGAACTGACATTTGGTATCACTTTTTCACCAAACACAGGAAAGAAAAGTAGTAAAATCAAAACTTTTTCTAAGATTTATTTATGCATACAAGAAATGGGATACAGGCTAGAGGTATGGTGGATGAGAGGATCCATCAGAGACAGAATGGGGAACATAACAAGTGGATCTACTGACATACATTGCTGAGGGGAGCAGCAGGCGAGACAGGAGAGTTCTGCTGCACTATGTGGGTTAGCTCTTTGGCTGGGATTTGAACTCATGCTGCAGTGGCCTCAGATAGCTTCACAGTGCTACATTTTAACCCATTGCACCACTAGGGAGGGCCCAAAATCAGTCTTTTAAAAAGTAGGAGTGTAGAGGCCCTCCCTGGTGGCGCAGCGGGTTAAAGCACTGCACTAAGAAGCTAGAGCCACTTCTGCATGAGTTCAATTCCCGCCTGCCCCGGAGGCGACCACATGGTGTGGCAGACCTCTCCTGACCAGCCCGCTGCTCCCCTCAGCAGTGTACTTCGTCCATCTGCCTGTTCTGCTTCCCGCTCTGTCTCTGGTGAATTCTTTCACCCTCCGCATCTCTGGCCTGTAACCCAGTTCTGTACAAATAAATAAATAAATCTTTAAAAAAAAAAAAAAAGTAGGAGTGTATAAACCTTGATTGTGATGTTTTGGTTTTGCTAAACCTTCAATCCACATTTCAGCTATCTTTGGTTTTGAGTGTTGGCTGGCTGGGTACCAGATGACCTTGACATTGCAAATCAAAGCTGACAAGGAAAATTTTGCAGTGAGCTACATTGCTGGGGACTTCCAGCTACACATTAATGTCAGTGATGGGACAGAATTTGGAGGATCAATTTATCAGAAAGTATATGGAGATCTTCACACTTCAGTTAGCTTTACTTGCACAGCAGATACCAACTGTACTCACTCTGGTACTGCAGTTAAATACCAGTTGGATTCCTCTGCTTCCATTTATGCAGAAATTGCCAACTCTAGTTTAATTGGGGTGGGCTACACTCAGACTTTGAAGCCTAAAATGAACCTTACATTGTATGATCTGCTAGATGGGAAGAACATGAATACTAGAGGCCACAAACTTAAGATCTGGTGTTGAGCTGGATGCTTAATCAGTGAAAAATAATCTCTGGGATTAGAATCAATCAGAATAGACCTCAATATATTTCCACTGTGACCAGCAGACTCAGTTCTTCTCCCCACCTACCCAAAAAGAGATGATTAAAAACACAGGATGAGCTAAACAAGAGCAATATTTAACTATTCAGACAATTACTTGTTAGTGGGTTTCTAGTTGGCTTGGTTATCTAGTTACTAATGCTACAGTCTAGCAGTCATCTATACATTATTTACATGTATTTAACTGTTAAATACAATACTCACCAATAAAGAAAAAGAACTTCATGAAAACTGAGGGGGAAAATGGTGCTAGGAAAATTGAAAAACCACATAATAGAAGAAGGAAATTGGATTACTCACTAACCCAACACACACACACACACAAAATCCAAATGAATTAAGATTTAGATGTAAGACCTACAAAAAACAGAATATATACAGAAAACATTGGCAATACATTCTATAACTTCAACGATAAAGATGGTTTTGGTGACTTGCTCCATATGGCACAGAAATGAAAACAAAAATAAAAATAGGTATTATCTCAAGTTAAAAAGGTTTATACCACAAAATACCAGAAGATTAAAGAGATCCCCTACTGAAAAGAAGAGTGCTTGTTAAATTTTACTTAGAGTACTTAGCTTGCTAAATTTTACTTCCTGTCCTCCCAGTTTTCTCATCAGAAATAAACAAGATTAAAGTGAAAATTTATTACTACATTGCATAAAGGATGTTAAATACTTTCAGATCACAAACTTACACCTATTTGTTAAATCCTATTAGTAAGAGGCATCAATAAACTGCCCTGATTTACTACAACTTTTCAAATTCTTAACATAAACACATTTAAAAGGCACAGCTATTGATGTAAAACAAGTAACAACTCCATTTCTAAGTATTTTCATACATGAAGTTAAGAATGCCTTTTAAACAATTAAAAAATAATAATCAAAACTCAACAGCACAAACTAAAAATTTCACTCACTTAAACTTGGGATTTATTTTTAGACACCCACCATTTATGCAAACAGACAATGCTGACAGAAGCAATAAAATGTCTGCATTTTTTGCTCTGTATTTTTTTTTATATATATAAAAAAGTCATACAATTTAGCTATTTACTGCTTTTAACAACTGCAAAATGGTTTGTACTTCTACATTTTTAACAAACATGCACGTCAGTTTCTGCCTTCCATGCTGACAACACATGTAAATAAATTACTATAAATAAATTACCATTACTGTAATGAGCTATAGTTACATCTTAAGAGTTCAAAATGTATGGGCGCTACTTACTGGCTCTATTTTAAACAGCTGCACATAGTTAAGCTTTTGGAGTTCTTCTATCTGTATTTTATAGTGGTTTTGTAACCTCAAATTAGATCTCTGTTTTCAGGCAGTCAGATCTAATTTGTTATTCCTCTTTCTGCGACTACCCAAATTTAACTACCCCCACCTACAACTGCTAGATTTGTGGTAGAAAAATGATGAAAATAGCCTTATTGGAATTTGTACACAAAATATGTCACCTCATAGAACTAGTAAT